TTGAATGGTTCAAATTATAATATTTGGAAAGGAAAAATGGAAGATTTGCTTTATATGAAAGGTTTTCACTTGTCAATTTTCTCTAATGAAAAACCGATGGAAAAAGTGATGAAGAATGGACTTTGTTGCATAGACAAGTTTGTGGTTATATTCGTCAATGGATGGATGATAATATTTTGAATCATGTGAGCTCGGTGACTCATGCTCGCTCTCTTTGGACCAAAAATGAGGAGTTGTATGCAAGAAAGACGGGGAACAATAAGTTGTTATTGTTCAAGCAATTGATGTCATTGAGGTATAATGATGGTTCATCAATGACCGGTCACTTGAACATTTTTCAAGGGATTCTAAATCAATTATCGGAGATGAATCTTACTTTTGATGATGAAATTCAAGGTTTTTGGCTTCTTGGTACTTTGCCTAATTCTTGGGAGACTTTTAGAACATCCTTTTCTAATTTAGCTTCGAATGGTATCATCTAAATGGACTTCACTAAAAGTAGTGTTTTGAATGAGGAATTAAGACGTAAGTCACAAGGTTCTTCTTTATATTCCGATGTGTTAATTGCTGAATCAAGGGGAGACATCAAAGTAGAGGTTCAAGTAATAGTGAAACTTCATGTGGTAAATCACAAGGAGGATCTAATAGATTCTCTCATCTTGAGTGTCATAATTGTGGGGAAAAGGGACACATAAAGAGGTATTGTCGTAAGTTGTAAATGGAAAACAAGAAGAACAGCTACAACAACGACAAAAAGGAAGGTAGAAATAATAAAGATGTTGTTATGGTTGATGATTTATTTATTTTTTATGATAGTTGTGTTGAGAATGTCAATCTATCATGTGATGAGATGGATTGGGTGGTTGATAGTGGTGCTTCTACTCATGCAACCTCGAGACGTGATCTTTTTTCTACTTACGAGACTGGTGATTTTAGGGTTGTTTGTATGGGAAATCATGGGTAAGCTAATATCATCGGAATGAGAGATATTCATGTCGAAACTAGCAATGGGACAACTCTAGTTCTCAAATGTGTGAAACATATTTCGGAACTTCGATTCAATCTTTTATCCGCTGGAAAGTTGGATAAAGAAGGATATGATGATTCTTTTTCGGGTAATGAATGGAAGTTAAAGAAAGGCTCAATGGTGGTTTCTAAAGGAAAAAGGAATTTGAACTTGTATGTTGTCCAACTTGGGGTTTCAAAGTGCTACATCAACACTTGTGATAATGATAGCTCATCCGAATTATGGCACAAGCGTTTGGGTCATATGAGTGAAAAAGGTTTGAGCATTTTGGCAAATAAGAATGTGTTGTATGGTGTTTCTGATGCAAAGTTGAGAAAATGTTCACATTGTTTGGAGGGTAAGCAAAGACGAGTTTCCTTTATGTCATCCAAACCAAAGAGGAAATCAGAAGTGTTGGATTTAATATATTCCGATGTGTGTGGTTCAATGACGACACGGTCACTTGGTGGTGCATATTACTTTGTGACTTTCATTTATGATTGTTCCCGAAAAACATGGGCTTAAACCTTGAAAACAAAAGATCAAGTGTTAGATTCCTTCAAATCGTTTCAAGCATTTGTTGAAAGATAAACATGGAAGAAGCTAAAGTGTATCTGAACCGATAATGGGGCAGAGTATGTTGGACCTTTCGACAAGTATTATCAAGATCAAGGTATACGTCATCAAAAGTATCCTCCAAAGACACCACAATTGAATGAGTTAGCCGAAAGAATGAATAAAACTTTGGTGGAAAGGGTGAGATGTTTACTCTCTCAGTCAAAGTTGCCAAAATACTTTTGGGGAGAAGCATTGAGCACGGCTGTACATCTTTTAAACCTCACTCCACGTGTTCCGTTAAAGTTTGATGTTCTAAATCATGTTTGGAGTGGTAAAGATGTTTCCTACGATCATCTTCGGGTGTTTGGGTGCATGGCTTATGTGCATATTCCGAAGGATGAGAGGTCGAAATTGGATGAGAAGTCAAAGAAATGCGTGTTTGTTGGGTATGAACTTGATGAGTTTGGATATCAATTATTTGATCCGGTTAAACAAAAGCTTATTTGTAGTCGTGATGTCATATTCATGGAGGATTATACCATTGAGGATATCGACAAAGTTGAGAATAAAGATCTGATTTTCGAAGATGAAGAAATGGTTGATATGAACTCAAATATTATTGCTCCAACCCCAATCACTTTCGAAGAAGTTCCAATTCAAAATCAAGGTATGTATTTAAATATTGATAATGTTTTAAATCCTAATGATATTGTTGATGTAGGTGCTACGAAAGATGTTGTTGAAAATGAGGTTGATTAAGAGGTTGAAAGTGTTGAGCAATCAATTGCTTCTAATGAGTTGAGGCAGTCTAATCGTGATGAAAGGTCTTCTGTTTGATATCCCTCAAATGAGTATGTTTTTCTTACTGATGGTGGAGAACCCGGAAGCTTTAAAGAAGCTTTGGAGGATGAGAACAAAAGAGAGTGGATGAATGCCATGGAGAATGAAATGCAATCACTTCGTGAGAATAATACCTTTGAGTTAGTGAAGTTTCCAAAGAGTAAGAGAGCATTGAAGAATAAAAGGGTTTATCAGATTAAGCAAGATGTGTGTACTTCTCAAAGAAGATACAAGGCTCGCTTGGTGGTAAAAGGTTTTAAACAATGGGAAGGTGTTGACTTTGGCGAGATTTTTGCTCCAGTTGTGAAGATGCAATCTATTCGAGTGGTTTTTGGGCTAGCCGTTAGTTTTGATTTGGAAGTAGAGCAAATGGACGTAGAAACGACTTTCCTTCATGGGGATCTACATGAAGAAATTTACATGGAGTAATCGGATGGATTCCGAAAGAAAGGCAAAGAAGACTATGTTTGCAAATTGGTAAAAAGTGTTTATGGTTTGAAACAAGCACCTTGCCAATGGTATCAAAATTTAAACTCGGTGATGATTGAACATGGGTACAAGATGACTAAGATCGATCATTGTGTATTTTTCTGAAATTTCTCCGAAGGTGATTTCCTTATTCTCTTGCTTTATGTGGATGATATGCTAATTGTTGAAAAGAATATTTCAAGAATTAAAGAGTTGAAGAACACTTTGAGTGAATATTTTTCCATGGAGGATTTAGGAGAGGTTCTGAAAATTCTTGGTATTGAAATTGTTCGAGATAGAAATGAGAAGAAGTTGTACTTGTCACAAGAAAAGTATGTGAAGAAAGTCCTTCGGCGTTTTAGTATGGATAAGGTTAAAGCGGTGAACATTCCACCTACTTCTCATTTCAAGCTTAGTCATAAACTATGTCCATCTACGAATGAAGAAAAGTTGAGTATGAAGAACATTTCGTACTCGTCGGCGTTGGTAGTTTGATGTATGTTATGGTTTGTACAACACCTGATATTACTCATGCCGTGAGAATGGTGGGTCGTTATCTCTCAAATCCGAGAACAGATCATTGGGAGGCCGTGAAGTGGGTGATGAGATATTTGCGCGGCACTTCAAGTTTGAGACTAACTTTGGAATGTAAGAAATCTATGTTGGTTGGATATACAGATTCGGATTTGGCCAAAAGCTTAGATGATCGAAAATCCATCTCGAAATATATGATGACTTTTATCGAAAAAGTCGTGACTTGGCAATCAAAGTTACAAAAGTGTGTTTCACTCTCTAATATCGAAACCGATTCAATAGCCGCTATGAAAGCGTCAAAAAATTGTTATATTTAAGAAAACTTACGATAAAACTTAGTGTGAAACAAAAAAAGTATATCTTATTTTGTGCTAATAGGCCAATTCATCTAAACTTCCCTACATATTTTGGTTTAACTCATCAGTCAAATAAGATTATTCTTATCCAATGTCATAATCATCGTACTTCTCTTATGATCCTATGAGTAAGATTATTTTTATCCAATGCCATAATCATCACACTTCTCTTATAATCCAAAAAAAAAAAAACTCATTAAGAGATCTCTGCCATTTTTTCTTCAATAAATTTTGTATTGATTTTCAAAGTAAAAGCTAATAAATGCTTTTAAAAACTTGTTAAGAAGCCAACTATGAAAATTTATTAGAAGCAGTGCATTCATTTTTCTCAATATTTAAAGAATATACTTTTTCAAAAATGACAAACATCTCAAATAAATAAGCACCACAATAGAAAGTGTAAATGCCTATGTCGGTTATCCTACCACAAGTCTAAGTTTGTCGGTTATCTATTTAACATTCTCAATTTTACAATAATGTATATTTTTCATCATTTTACTTCTCTTTTATTGAATACTTTGTTCGGTTTACGTAGATTAAAAATATGAAGATCATGAATATACATGGTAGCGGTGTCTTTCTCGTGTCCAACCCAAAGGCAAGAACGGGACTACTATTTTCACGATCTTCTGTAAAAATTTCTAAATCTGCACTCGTACTATGCACTTGATAATCATAAAGAATAAGCCAAGTTGACTCATTCATTGTCAACCTTTGATGAAAAAATAAGCTCAAAGTAGTAAAATTAAATGATGCATCATGTGAAAAATTAAAGTATAGAAACATTGCAATCATTTTTTGTTGTCAAAAAAGAACAACATTTCATTTCAATACTAGTTCAATGTAAAAACATTTATTAGCACCATAAGTAGGTATAGACAGATACTGATATGTGTATATTGTAATAAAGACTAATTATACAGTTAGCTTTATAGTTGAGGGCTATAATGAGTTCAACGAAAGACAGTGTGATTTTGTTCATGGTATAGCTGGTATTTGCATGTTAATGTCTTTTTCTTAGAGGATTATAATTTATAACCACCTTTGAAGCATGTGAGGTTCTTAAATTTCATTGTCGGTGTGGTTTGGAGATAATGTCCAACATTGTGTATATATATTTGGCATATCTCTAATTAGTAGTATACTCACATTATTACATGATCCAAACAAAGAAGCTTAATAGCTTCTCTTGAGTTTCAGTTCTATCTTATTGATTGATTGGTGTTAGGAGTTGTGTAATGCAGATTTTTACTCGTAGCCATGGAGCACTTGTGTGTTTTTGGCTGTCTGTTGCTTTTTTGGTAATGGGATCTTGCCATAGTACAGTTGAGGTAGTTGGTCTTGGAGAATGCGCAGATTGCAACCTGAACAATATTAAAATTAGTCAGGCTTTTTCAGGTATAATCTAGTCTTTTGTATTCTGTGTTATTTGTAGTCAAATATATAAAAGAAAGTACATATATCTGATCAAAATTTGGATTAGATGAATGTACTTTTTTGTTTATACTATGATACGAAAAATGTAGAGGTGGTTGATTTTAATATCTTGTGTATAACTTTTTGTGCAGGGTTAAAAGTAACAATAGACTGCAAAGAAGCAAGTGGACATTTTAAAACAAGAGGGGCTGGTGAGCTTGATAACAATGGAAATTTCAAAGTATCTCTTCCTCAAGACATTGTGAAAGAAGGTGAACTGAAAGAAGAGTGCTATGCTCAGCTTCATAGTGCATCAGCTGCACCATGTCCTGCTCATGATGGTCTGCAAGGCACCAAGATTGTTATTAGTTCAAAATCTGATGAGAAACATACTCTTAGTACTGCTGCTGCTGGTAAACTCAAGTTTTCATCAGCAACATGTGCCTCAGCATTTTTTTGGCCTTTTTATAAACACCCTCTTTTTCCTAAACTTCCTCTTCCTCAGTTACCTCATTTCCCACCTAAAGTTTTTCCACCATTTCCACCAAAGTTTTTCCATAAACACCACCCTCTCTTTCCTCCTATTCCTATCTACAACAAACCTCCCTTTCCTCATATTCCTATTTACACCAAACCTCCTTTTCCTCATATTCCTATCTACACCAATCCTCTCCCTCCACCTGTGCCTATCTATGAGAAACCTCTCCCTCCCCCTACACCGGTATATGAGAAACCTCTTCCTCCGCCTGCCTATGAAAAACCTCTCCCTCCTCCTGTGCCCGTTTATCATAAACCACCTACGCCCGTTTATCATAAACCACCTACACCCGTTTATCATAAACCACCTACGCCCGTTTATCATGAACCACCTACGCCTGTTTATCATGCACCAACTACGCCTGTTTATCATGCACCGCCTACGCCCGTTTATCATAAACCACCTACACCTGTTTATTACAAACCGCCTACGCCTGTTTATCACAAACCGCCTACGCCCGTTTATCACAAACCACCTACACCAGTTTATCATGAGCCGCCTACGCCTGTTTATCATGCACCACCTACGCCGGTTTATCATAAACCGCCTACGCCCGTTTATCATGAACCGCCTACACCCGTTTATCACAAACCACCTACACCTGTTTATTATAAATCGCCTACGCCCGTTTATCATGAACCGCCTACGCCCGTTTATCACAAACCACCTACACCCGTTTATCATGAACCGCCTACGCCGATTTATCATAAACCACATCCGGTCAAGAAACCTTGTCCACCAAAGGTTGAACATCCAATTCTACCACCGGTTCCAATCTACAAACCTCATCCTTCTCCGGTTCCAAAGCCACTTCCACCACCTGTTCCGGTCAAGAAACCGTGTCCACCAAAGGTTGAGCATCCAATTCTACCACCTGTTCCAATATACAAACCTCCAGTAGTAATTCCAAAGCCACCTGTTCCAATATACAAACCTCCAGTAGTGATTCCAAAGCCACCTGTTCCAATATACAAACCTCCAGTAGTGATTCCAAAGCCACCTGTGGTTCCAATATACCAACCTCCAGTAGTAATTCCAAAGCCACCTGTGGTTCCAATCATCAAGCCCCATCCTCCTATTGTTCCAATTTATAAACCACCAGTTGTTATCAAACCTCTTCCTCCTTTCTCAAAGTTTCCTCCATTCCAGAAACCACCACTTCCACCTCTTCCCAAGATCCCTCCCGTGCATGATTTTTTCCATCATCACCCCAAGTTTGGAAAATTGCCTCCAAAAAGCTTTTTCCATCACCCCAAGTTTGGGAAATGGCCACCAGTCCACCCAAAAAGCTTCTTCCACCACCCCAAGTATGGAAAATGGCCACCAATCCATAAGAGCTTCTTCCATCACCCCAAGTTTGGAAAATGGCCAAAGGATCCAAAAAGCTTCTTCCATTACCCCAAGTTTGGGAAATGGCCACCATTAAGTCCTCATCATTAGGGGCCATGTCTGAGCTTACAAAATGCTTCCATTGTTTTTCATCTTCTTCGTTTATTTAAAAACTATCATCGATCAATTTGCAAATAAAGCCTTCAAGGGATATAGAGTGTGTGGACAGAAAAACAGACATAGTACGATGTTGTTTGAAGAAGTTTCATGAAGCTGAGTGTAATCACTAGTTGTTCTTGAGTGAAGATCACCGGAGTTATTTTTTCTTAAAATTACTTTCATGTGTATAGAGTTGTGTAATCTGTGATGGTTTTTCTCCCTTTCTGTCTTTGTATTATTAGTTCTTATTACTTTATGTTCAATTAATAAATCCATTTGTATTGTTAATCATTGCAGTTAAAAAGTTTGTAATGCTTATAGCTTTTGCACATTGTTCTTGACCGTTTTTTATAGTATATTCATAACATTATTGCTGGTAAGAAAATCATTGTTACCAAAAACATAGAGACTTCCACTTTCACCTACTAACATTGATTTGTTACTGGAGGTACCTAATGTCTATTATGGTTCAAAAAAACACAAATAGTAGTAGCTAACAAAGCTTTTAATGTCTCTGTCAAAAAAAAAAGAACAAAAACAAAGCTTTTAATGTCTTGTTGTGCAAGGCTCTCGGGGGAAACGTGAAATCATAAAGTGCAAACAAACAAATTATTTTTCTCTGTCTTATCGTTCCATTTAGGTAATGGAGTATTGTAAATAGAGTTAAGAAATAATGAAAACAAAATAAAGAAAGAGGAGAAAGGTAAAGAGAAGAAATTACAAGTTAACTTTTAGAGTAGGTTATAACTTATAACAAACCGTTTAAATGAAGTGTATTTTTCTAGAATATTAGGGGATAGTCAACCCATCTTTTAAATTGGTTTTTAAAAGATTGTGTTACCATCACAAGTTTGATATTTTTATTATTTTTTTGAGCCTTGGATGGTTTATAGTTGTTTCTTCAAGAACTCTATTATATAAGAATTTAAATAGCTTTGGAAAAGACACCCTTATCCTTGCGATTAAATTGGTTACTATAGTTATTTTAGCATAAATGTTGTATTTATTCATCTCTCTTTCAACTAATTTATTGATATTTGACTAATAAACCATTTGGTTCGCTCCTTTGTCTCTTGAGTAACATGTACTAAACAATTGAATGCACCCACGTAGGTTGAAAATCAACAAAACTCGTCTTCATCCCAACACCTTCATCTTTTGAAAATCTGTAAAGTTGGTACAATAATCAAAGTGTTCCATCGAGACTGAAGCATGGGTACCCCAACTTAAATCTCTCTTTTGCACAACATCCTTCTTCCTTCTACCTCAAATCTTCTTCCTTCTTTCTCTTTTTCTTCTTCCTTTTATGTATTCTTCTGTTTCTTTCTTTCGTTATTAAATCACTTGATTGGGCGTTGATGATTTCTTGCTACTGGTTTTATGTGACTCTTTCTTTTACTTATTGTAGAGACTAAGAAGACTTATCATGAGAGCTTTTTGGATGATGATTTTGAGAATCCAGGTTAGAAATTCTGCTTTGTAGATGACACTCGGTGTTTGTTTAGATTAACAATGAATTTGGAAAAATCACGATATTTAACCTGGAAGACGTGAAGGCTTTTTTATTTGTATTTTGTTGTTTCAGGTTTAATAGTTTTGGCTCACTCGAAAGGGGGGAGATTCTCAACGGTTTGGTAAGAAAAGCTTCACTTTTTATATTTTAGATATGGGCCTTGGAAAAGCCTCACTAATCAAAATCTGATCAATTCACCTTCTACCAATATTGCTCAAACTCAGTCAGAACTCACACAAATTCTATCTGATATTGATCAATATGATCCACTATTTGATGCTCCCTAACCAGAAAATCCAAATACTGCTTCTGAACAATTTCCCGAAACCGTTTAAATATCAGGCACAACCCGCCCTCTCAACGCTACCCAACCACCACTCCATCACAAAAATTTGCCATTCCAGATATTCCTTCTCCATATGAATCAACACCACAAAAATCTCCTATTATCATTTCCGACTCTCTAGACCTTCCGACTCCCAAAGATCTAACAGAAGATCCTCTACAAACTGTAGTTGATCAACAAGCTTTGAACAAACTCATTAACTTCTCTAAAAAAATAGCCATCCCAAAATCGAAATCAAAACCATCCAAAATAGATATTGGCAAATCATTGTTGGTTTTTGAGACATAAATGCATGAATTGGTTAACTCTCTGAAGCAGGCTTGCTTCAATAATTTTAATTCAGCTGCCTCTGACTACCTTCGGACTCAGTTCAGAAAATAGTTTAATTATGAATCTCTCAAGATGAAGGAGCTCAGCTACGAGATTGATCAACAGAACTTTTGTGATCAGCTGAATGTCTTCAAGGAAGAAGTGCAAAAGCTATGGGTAAGGAAACCTCTTCTTTATCTAGACAATACTCCTTTGGAATTCTCACACAAACTCAGAAACTCGAGAACCATCTTCTGAACCTCGACCTCTAGTCATCTTCAAAGACAAAGGAAAAATCTATTGAAGAATCTTTTGTGAGAGTAACTGCTGAAGAAACGGTTCCTGCTGAAGAAATGGCTCCAACTTCTCTTATGCTAAAAAATTTGGAGGAATTGAAGAAAGAAAATGAATCTGTTAGGGAAAGGTTGGATAAACAAGATGAAACCAACAAAGAGATCAAGGGAATTCTGGGCAAGCAAGAAGAAGCCAACAATCAGATCAAAGGTCTTCTAGAAGCATTATTCACACGTCTTCCACCTACACAACCTTAGATCTTTTGTTTCTTTTGTTCTGTTTTCTTTTTGCTTAACTTATGTTTGTTTTTGTTTCTCATTGTATTTTCCCCTGCTTACGTGTTTTTATTTCTTTTTGATTTATAACAAAAAAGGGGAGAAAGTGAATAAATTTTGATATAAATAGTTCTGGACTAAGTCTCAAACATTTCAGATAACGTAACTTATATTTCAACGTCTATCTCTGAAAAGTTTACAGGAAAAATATCACTTGTGGTATGCATTACCAGCCTTCAACATAGGCTTCTCAGATCTTCCATCATTTGCTCTGATCAAAATATCTTCAGAGGAGTATTTATTGTTTTTAAATTTTATCTGAGTATCTAACTCAAGGGGAGACTTTGAACTTTCTATCTTCTGAATTTTTTTAAATTATTCATCAAAATATGTAAGTTTTGTCATCATCAAAAATAGAGAGATTGTTAGAATATAGTTTGGTTCTACATCTAAGTATTAGTTTTGATGATAACAATTACATGATTATTATGAAGAACAATTATGATTTCTAATCTTTTGATTAAATATACTGCGAAGTTTGGATGGAAAAGTGTAACACCCCATTTCTACCCGACGAATAATATTAAAAATCAGAGTTCAACATAAATAGGATGCTACATTTACAACTTAAAATAAAACTTCATTTAATCGCATATAAACAGATACATAACACTTAACTCGGATGAACCGATAACAACCTGATTTATTCTTCAAAATCAAACAACTTTTATTGATATGCAGCAGAATCTACATACTCAACTTCAAATCACTTAACATCTTTTATTCAACTAAAACAACCTCAAGACAACAATTATTTCATGTAATCAACTTAAAAATTCAGAAACTGAAATAATAATCAACAACTAAACATCAAACGTTCACCTCCTCGAGTGCTACGTATCGGAGCGACAACACTGACTCGAACTAACAAGGTAAGAAATATCCTTCTAACAGAGGGCAACATTCAAATAGAAGGGGTGAGATATCAGACAATATAATAAGCCGTATGATAAATAATATATTAAATTAGATCATATAAAATCACCACTTTACAACTTACAAACAACTTTAATCACAACAAAACATCAACACGACATAACTATTAATTCACAACTTTTAGATAATACTTGTCACAACAAGTCAACAACATAAAGCAACAACAAATATATCATCACCACAACTCAAGATGCAACATCAACTGCGACTTAATTACAATGCACATACATGTGGTACCATTGAAGCAGAACTCCCATCTTAAAAATCTGCCAATAAATAAAGGCATCAACAAGGCATAAGCATTCTTTGCAGTTTACAAATCCAGGCCATCAAAGAGTATGCAAATGTATGTGACTCAATGAATGCACCATCACATACTCACAACAATCATCATTCATCACAAGGCATAAGCCCACATCAGCATTATTACCAGTAAATAGAGGTAATTCATCATCATTTAAAATTCTCTGAAACTTCGCATTGTTAGAACATAGTTTGATTCTATAACCTTGATTAGAGTTTTGATGATAAAAAAATACAAAGAATAAATAAATCCAAAGATATATACAAAGAGCAAATATGCTACTTAAAATTATGTCTTTGTGCATGCAGGAGTTCTGATGGAATCAGCATCAGAAGATCAGCAATATGTACTACACGCTGAAGCTACCAGATTATACGCTGAAATTTGATGACCAGAATCTGCGCCTAAACAAGTACACTCTGAATCTAAACAAAGACATCTCAACCAAGTCATCAACACTCTGAAGCGTTATCAGCAGTTAAAGCAAAGAAGACTCTGAAGCGTTATTAATTATTCAAGACAGAATTAAATGCTAACGGCTTTCTTCAGACAAGATCTTCTTCAAAAGGAAAGTATGTTATTATCATTAAACTTGCTTTATGGACAACGTTTCTTTCTTTCCTATATAAACAAGTCTGCTTGTGAAAGAAGCACGTACATACGCACACAACAATTTGCCAAGCTTTCCAAACCACGCATATTCAAGCTCTAGCAAATTTATTTTATTCCAAGCTTAATTTGTGTAATTATCACAGTTGTGATATACTGTTTTGTTAGAAAACAACAACACACTCTTGTTCAATTATTTGTAAAAGAAGTTCCTTGAGATTAACCGGATTGTGGTTGTACTCAAGAAGACTTTAACAGTTGTTAAAGTAGTTGTTGTAATCCTTTGAGAATAGTGGATTAAGACCTCGTTGGAGAGAGGAGAAATCACCTTGACGGGTGGACTGGAGTAGTTTGAGATCAAACGAACCAGGATAAAAATACTGTGTCATTAAGCTGTTTTTTATTTGATCCAAGTTTTTCAATTCAACCCCCCCTTCTTGTGTTTTTCACATCTTCAATTGGCATCAGAGCGCCTGGTTCTGAGCTTAAACACTTAACCGTGTCAGTACAAGATCCAGCGTCAGAAAAACACAATGGCAGGACCAAGTCAAAACATCAGCAATGACAATAATGTAGAAAGGGACAGATTCAGTGGCAAACCTCCAGTCTTTGATGGAGAGAACTTTGACT